TTATTAATTATAGTTTACATGTCAAATTCCCTATTATTTGTTTTTTTGCATTACGGATTGTGGAATGTATTAATATCTGTCCGACTGCAATAAAATAATATTTCTGCTAATTGTATGAACTTTTATATCCTTAAAAAGTTAATTATTAAAGCAAAACATTTCATTTTTTATTTGTGTGCCAAAAGTCTATTTTGCTCAAGCAGATCTTTAGGTATAATAATAAAATCAAAACTATGTAGTTCCAGGTTAAAAAAAATATTCATTCCTTAATTTGATTTGATTCCTTTGATTTAAAAAATACTTACAAGATATAATTACTTCAATTAAATGGAAGTCACATTTGAGTGATGATGTTGGTCCTAAACATCAATGTTATTAAAACAGTACCGGTTATCAAACCGGTTAGGGTACTGGTATGGTGGTACAGTGGTTCAGTAATTAAACTGCATGCCGGTTAAACCGGACATACTTGCTTATATATATATGTAAACCTATAACAAAAAATTTCAAATAAATAGATATTCATATTTATAATCCATATTCATAATTTACTTCAAATTCACACAAACAAAAACATTAAGTCCTTAATAAAATTAAAGTTTAAAGTACAAAACATATATTTATCCAAAATTATCATCACTTAACAAACGCAAAATACAAATAAATGATCCAAGTATCAATCATTGAAGTTGAAGAATTGGTGAAGAATTGAAAATTTGAAATTTAAAAAAAAAAAAAATAATGTACAAAACGATCGGTTTAAACCGGTTTACTGGTTTTCAACCGGTTTTGATCGTTTCTATTGCATATGCGGTATAACATACGTACCGTACCGATTAGGGGTCCGGTTCACCGGTTTTTCGGTTGAACCGGCCGGTACGGCACGGTTTTTAAAGCATTGCTAAACATTGTAAACTATAATTGGACTATAAAAGCTTCATTAAATTTGTTAATGATAAAATGATTAATTAATAATGAGTTTTAAAATACAATAATATTTCACTTAAAATAAAACTTATTAAATTAAATTATTTAATTTAATCCATAATATTTTCTCGTCCAACAAAAAACAGAACACACGTTGGTGTGTGATCTCGTAGGTTCATTATTAAACCGGTAGTAAATTAACTCATTAATTTACTAATCAATGTTGACGCCTTGCAACACTCCTTAACGACCGGATATAAATGAAGTAACATCTTTTACTTTTAGAACCATTAGAAGATTAATATAATATTTTTTCCCATATTTACAACTGTATGTTAACTCAAATAATGAATGACTTAAGAAACTCATTTCTTCATTCATTCAATTAGTCTTTATTTCTATAGAGCCCAAACTCATTACCATGAGTTGATGGATTCTTTCTTGATTGAACATTAATCCTACAAGAATTTGATTATGCCAATAATCATTCAACTAACATCATAAAATATTAGGTGTCTGATATCAAAATATAACAAATAACTTATTAATTACAAATGAAAATATATATTTTTTCATAAGAATTTCCTATTAACAATTCAAATGTAATATATTAACTATTAGAAATTCTTCTTTGAGTCAGTTCAATGGTCATATATCTATATGCAACATTTATATGTGTAATTTAATAAACAAGATATATTAATATTTATCTAATAAAGACTACTACACGTATATTGATCTATCTGGATTAATAATGTCCTAAGCTTAATAATCTTATGATCAAGAACAATTTAGATTAAAATTATAAAAGATTTATTTATCATTATTATAATTTGTGTTATAATAATAACTCTCTAATTTTAATCAAAGAGTTTTTATATTAATTATTTCAACAAACAATGAATATGATAATAAGATAATAATAAATACAACTTTATTATTATAAACACAACAAATTGGTTCTTGGGAATGTATTAATACCTGTCTGGCCGCAATAAAATGGTACTTTCGCTAATTGCATGAACTTTTAAATTCTTAAAAAAATATTTATTAAAGCAAAATATTTCATTTTTTATTTTTATGTACCAAAAGTCTATTTTGTTCATACAAATCTTTAGGTGTAATAATAAAATCAAGACTAAGTAATTCTAGGTTAAAAATATTTATTCCTTGATTTGATTCCTTTGATTTAAAAAATTATTACACAATATAATTACTTCAATTAAATGGAAGTCAAAGACTCACAGTGGAGTGACGGTGTTGTTTGTAAATCTTGCAAACTATAATTGGACTTTAAAAGCTTCATTAAACTTGTTAATGTTAAAATCATTATTAATAATATGAGTTTTTAAATGGAATTAATAGTGAAGATATGTCATAAACATTCTTTCCATTTTCATAAATTAGAGATGATGCGAACAATAATCAAACTATAAACCTTCCATTAAATTATTTTCACAAAAAATATATATTTTGATTACTAATATTTTTAAATAAATGGAATTAATTGCAAAGAGATGATACTAATCGTAGATCAACTTTGCGCTCTCAAGCATAAAGGAAGAGATGATGTGGGCCCCAATTGAACTATTCAAATTTTATAAATTTATTTAAAGAGATAAAAATGTATTTATTTTTTTAATAATTTGAATTAATAGAAAAAAAAAAGATAACATTAGTCATAGATAGTCTTTCCGCATGAAGCAGAAAGAAGGAAAGAAAGAGACACTACATGTCACGATCAATCTATTCAAAATCAAGAAAAAATATTTTAATTATTATATATATTAATATTATTTCTAAAAACTATTTTTATTACTTCAACATAGGAAACAAAAATAAAACGAAAATATATTGACTTAATAATTAATTTAATAAAAAACTATATGTTAGACACATGACATAATTTGATAGGGAACCGCGCAAACCTCCTTTGGAAGTAACCAAGTGCCAGGAATGCACTGGTTTGACTTGGAAAGCCAAAAGACGACGTTGACTCAGGATTGTAGAAGGAGATGGATACTTGTCTATGTGTCACATGGTTCATTGGTTGATGATGCCAACATGCCAATAATTGGTGTTGTCCGAAGCTCCTTGCAATGTGTGTAACACCTGCAATTTTTCTATTTTTATGTGAGTGGGAAATCTTGATTTACTTTTATAAATTTATCTTAATAAAAATATAATTTTTAGATGAGTAGCCAATCTTTTAATGATTATCTAATAAGTTAGTGATTTTGTTTTATTTTTAATACAAGTTAAGTCATTGGTACTCTTAGTCAAGTGAATCTTTATATTCTAAGAATTAGGTTTGTTTCAAAAATTTATTTTAAGATAGAAATTGAACTTTATTATATTATTAAAGCATTCACATATTCATGTAGTATGTAATACGGTAATTTTTCCTCAACTAATGTTCGAATAGATATATTTGTAGATTAGTTAATCATTAATTACTTGAGTTAATTTTTCGTTCTCCTAGTATTTCCCACGGTCAAGTTGTACAAAGCCATTAAGTACATGGTTAAAGCATGAATTAACTCACCATAAAGCTCTCATCGGTCAACATAAGTGATGGCCAACATTGGATACCAAATTTGAGTAATTCCCCATGCCTATATTTAGCATAGGAGCCAACGGCTAGAATAATTGTTGGCTAGCTTGGATGCCAACCATGATGATTCCAAATAACCATTTTGTTAAGTTTGAGTGCCAACAGCTTGGAACATTGAACCAATGACTCTCCCTAGCTTGGACTAGCCTTTAATCATGCTATTTATCAATGCTACCATGTGTTGAAGACACTAGCCCACTTTTCTCCCCTCCATTTAATCATGGTGGTTACAATTTAATGACTTTTTTACTCATGAACTTAAGACGTATTATTTGAAATTCATATTAAATAAAAATATGTTGAATTAATTTAAAATGTGCCTATGAGAAATGATCCACCAATAAATTATGCCCAGCTGGCCAAAAATGGTGCATGCGCCCAGTGCTGATGGTGCTCTTATCTAGGTCAGGATTGGTCCTACGCCAGGTTCCATGCGCCTAGCGCATGATGTATCTGTCTTGGCTAGTTGTCCCAGTGCCTGATGCATCTGTCTTGGTCAGTTGGCCAAGCACCTGTTCCATCTGTCTTCGCCAGTTGGCCCACATTTTGGTCCTCTTGCAAAATGACATAGGACCCCTTTGAATTAACTTTGCAATCATAAAGATGATAATTCTTCAACAAGTTGTCCAAGTAAATGACATATCCTTCAAAAAGTTGGGTTACCACCGATGTTTACATCACCAATTTTTCCTATGGTGGACCAAAATTAATTTAAATATTAAACAAACCTCTCAAATTCTTAATTTTCAAATCTCAAATATCACTATATGCAACAACCTCTATATTTAGGATGACAACGGGGCCAAACGGACACAGGAAGTGCATATATGTTTCTATACTTTTATTATTTATGGGTACCCAACGAGTTTTCAATTTTAACTATATTTGTATATATTTTACAATAATTAATATATAAAAATAATTATTACTTAAATAATATAATATATATATAATAATTTTATGATTATAGTCTCATCATTAAATTTTATTATGAAATAATAATAAAATAGACAAATATAATGTTAAATTAATAATTAAGTATAAAATATTCAATTAAAATATATACGCGGGTAGTCGCGAGACGGATATAATAATACATGTCCCCACCCATGAATTATTTTTGTGGATACTTATTTTGGATATTTTGACAGGTACGACGGCGAGTATTTTTGTCATCCCTATCTATATCAAACCTATTGACAAAGCCTAGACACCATTGGGGCCAATTTTTGCTACACGAGGCCCATTAGGAAATGTGGCAAAACCCTAAATCATCCTTCACAGGTCTATAAATTGCATTACGGGGTCACATTCTCCTCCCATCAATGGCCGTAAGCTCCCATAACTATCATTTTTTCTTTATGCATCACTGTTAGCTGCTTTACCTGTTATGTTTTTTTTTTCATTTTTTTTTCTATTAGCATTTGGTTTAGTTAATGATGTTCAATGTTTGGTGTTTCCTCGGTGATGATCAAATAACGATGACGAGTCTGATGAAATTTCCATTCATTAAAATACTGATGACAAAACGAGGCATTTGTCTGAGAGGATTCAACCTTTATTATTTTCAATTTTCAATTTTACTCTTGTTGTTATTGTCGTTGTTTTGTATCTTTTGAAAAAATTTCTATCTATTACTTTGCATGGTGATGAATCTTTTGATTTTTTTCATATGATTAGTCATGTGATGAAATACAATCCTCCTACTCATTCTGAGTGCATTTTTTTTTCTTTTTAAATGCTTGTTTTGTCTTCGATTTTTTATTTATTTTAGTTTGAGAACAAATAGTTTTGCGTGATGTTTGATGCTTGATGATTTTGATTATGAATGAAGATTCATTTAGATATATCAAAATTTCTGTCAAAATTATCCTGGGTATTATAATACATAAAATATTCCTAATTTTTGGTGAACTTCTCTATCAAACATTAATTTGATCCCAAATTCTGGATCTACAGGACTGATTTGGATTTTTACTTGCGAAATTTTTTTAGAGCAAAATGTACTACATTGTTGTTTTTTTTGGTAAATACGTTGTTGTAAACTTTACAGTGTTAAAGTTTACAAATCAATTTAATTTCTTTGATATTGACTCTATTATTTTGCAGTTCTTTTTTGTAGAAGCAAATATTGAGTTCTTGACTTTCAGTCCGCTATATTCTTATAAACTTAAGAACATATATAAATAAATTTTCAGCTGTAACGAGTTAAACTTTTGAAGGTTTTCGGATTCATTTAACAGAAGAAATCATATTCATAGACGAATCGAACCGGTTAAATTGTATTCTTGTCTCAAAATTCAAGCCATGTTCTAAACATTAACAGAATTTAAGGTTTCACATGTTTGGACCTAAGAAACCTCGGAAAACTGATTTGACCGGCCATAACCAATTTAACGTGATTAAGAGAAATCGTTGTTCTTGTGTTTTGGAAGTAACTGATTGACTTGGTTTTATAATATAATGCAGTGAAATGATCATAAACTATTAGCTATGGCAGTGGTGATCAGTTCCTACAATAAAATCCACTTATTGACTAGTGCGCCGGCAATGTAATTTTGCTTATTTATGATTGTATGTAACCCACAAGATAGTTTTGTCATATCACTCACTAAACTCCATTAATAATACATTACATTTATTCAATACCACAATCTGTGAGAAGTGTTATTGATGTGATCCTTTTGGTTGTGGTTTTATTTGGTTGATACTCTCTATTGGGAAAGATTTGAGGTGGTAAGGTTCCAATGCACATGGCCCCACATGCATAATTCCCACACATTGATGCACACTTGATGACTTGAATTAAAGTTTGACCCATACCATCTTCCTTTAAACATGTCACTTTTCCATTTGGAAGCTCCTATATGGATGGTAAAATTTGTGATTTTGCAGCCATAAGGATCCCAACCGAAATTGACCGAATGTTTGTCGTGCAAATTATAGGAATATAGGGTACCCTCTTGGCTCACATCAGTGATTCTTTGCCTAGTAATTCTAGTAATCATTTGTACCTTCCAAACTGTGATATGGAAGAAATTTGATTTCGGAATGAAATGTTAATTTTCCTCACATATCTCTATAACGTTCGGTCTTTTAGGAATTTATTGTTGTGTTCCAAACCTAAGTATCCGCATGGTGTTATTTATTAAAAAAGAGGTATTAATTTTCAAAATCTGTTTCCCGGGGGGATTGCAAGCTCTATTAATGAGTTTAATGCCCATTCTCATTAGGATATTAATCTTCAACTTTCAAACCCAAATTCCCGGGGGCCCAACATAAAGTATACACTAACGTTGGGCCAATTCTTCCGACCACTAATAAAAATGAAATAATGACAATGAAGGAGTCTAACATGGCAACAATGTATGACTGTAAATGCAATAACCGTGACCATAATTTAAAACATTGGGCTAGAATTTTATGGCAACTAAGTTGCACAGACCAGATTGAGGAGGTTTCGAACATGTCATTTGGAATGGAGAATAACCAGAAGGGTCTTATGGTTGAGATATCAATCCAATCCAATATGGATTTATTAGGTGATGGTGTTGTTATTTCGGGGTCCACTATCTCCTTTCCTACATGTGACATGCTTGTGGAGGTTTCCATAATTCCTCATGGGAACTTGGATTCTTTAAATGAAATTCCTTTTGGGGAGAATGATCTTGTTCAATTTTTTAACATATTTGTCGAGCATGATGGTTATATATTCGGTTTGGTTATAAGTCTTATGGCTCATCATGGAACGAGACAAACATCCATGGAGTGTTAATCTTAGTACTTTTGGCCTCATGTTCTCTTGTTGAATTTTAGGACTTTAAAATTTTATCTTGGGATGTTCGTGGAACCATCAATAAGCATGGTCATCGTCATGCACAAGAAATGATCAGGAAGTGTCACCATTCTATTTTCGTATCACCAATCTATTTTCATCCTTATGGAAACTAATTGTTAGTTCAAATATGGTAAGTGCTTTTGGGATGACTTAGGCTATTAAGCTTGTGTTATTGTTGAAGCTTCTGGTTTTGCTAATGATATTTGGGTTCTTAGTGTTGTGGGCAACTATGTCAAAGCAAATATTATTGATATCTTCTCTCAAGCCATTTATGTGAAGTTTGAGATTTGGAGTCGTGAGTGGATTTGTATTGTTGTGTATGCAAGTCCTTCCATGCTTGTTTGAGAATCTATTTAGAAGTACTTAGTGAATCTTCGTAATCTAGTAAACATTATGTGATTGATTTTGGGGGATTTCATTGAAATTCTCATGCCTTCCGAAGTCAGAGGTGGTAAATTCATGCTCTAAAGTGCTACAAAATTTTCTCTACTTGTGAATTCTTGCATACTTATGGACCTGGGAGCTGTTGGTAGTATATTTACTTAGTCCCGCATGGAGCAGGGCAATCAGAGTGTTTCCAAGAACCTAGATAAAGCTTTGTGTTATTGCAGTTGGCGATGAGGCATCTATGAAGCTTATGTTGAAAACCTTCCAAAATTGCACTCTGATCATTGTCTTATATTGGTTAGTTGTGGTAGTTGTGATGAGGTTATCTTCAATAGACCTTTTAGATTTAAGGCAACTTGGTCCTCTAATGCAAATTTCCACGATGTTGTCCTTCAGGTTTGGTCTTCTGTTGATAGCGATGTGATGAATGGTCTTGCTAAGGTTGGATAAAATGCTTTGCTTTTTAAGAAAAATGTATTTGGAAATATTGTTAAGTGGAAGAGAAGAATCGATGTCATAATAAGAGGCGTGCAACTTAGTCTAGAATCATTTGATTATTAGGCTCTCGTTAGATTGGAGGCTCAATTGAGGCAGAAGTATAATATTGTCTCGATATAAGAGGATATATTTTTGTCTTATAAATCTAGAGAACAATAAGTGAAGTTTGGTGACAAATACACTAAATATTTTCTCACACAAACCGTTTAAGGAGGAAACGTAACAAAATCTATGGGCTCTTTTTAGATGATGGTGTTTGTACTATTGATCCAACCATGCTTAAGGAGGAGGCCACTCATTATTTCCAAGATCTTTTTTGTGGAAGGAGCAATGTTAATCTTGGTAGTTATTTGGTTACCACTTCAGTTTACCTCAAGATGGTGTTGTAGGAATTACTATGCCGATTACTTTAGAGGAATTTACTAAAGATGTTATTTCTACGCAGTCTTTCAAAGGTCCTGGCAAGAATGAGTTTCAACCTTATTTCGTGAAAGAAATGTTGGGAGATTGTGGGAAAATATATTTGGAATACGATCTAAGATGTTTTTCCAAATGTTGTTTATGCCTTTTGAAGACTCTTGTGTTTCTTATTCCAAAGGTTACTCATCCTATTTCTTTGAAGGAACTAAGACCATTTATATTGTGTACGTGACATATAAGGTGTCAACCAAGGTGTTGGTGAGTAGATTGAGGTCATTTGTTAGACAATCTAGTTGGTCCTTTGTAGAGTAGCTTTATTCCTGATGGAGTGACTACTCATAATGTTATCTTATTATATACTACATTCATAAGTCAGGGCGAATGAGTTTCAACCTTATGTACTACAAAAGAAGGGTATTGTGGCCTTCAAGGTTGACTTGGATTTCCTGGAGCAGATGCTGATTTATTTTGGTATTCCTTTTGCTATCCTAAGCCTTATCATGTGAATTAGATATGGTAGTTTGTCTATTATTTGGAAGGGGTCGCATAAGGATTATGTTCGCCCTTCTAGAGGTCTCTTTTAGGGCGATCCCATGTATCCTTATTTATTTGTTTTCTGTATGTAGTGTTGGGTAGACACATTATATAAGACATCTAGAGGGGGTGGAGGTGAATAGGTGTAGCAGATCATTACTGTCACTTTTCTGGTTAATGAGAATATTGAAAAATCAGTTCAGGATTATCGATTATCTTAACAAGTAATCGATTACTATCAGCATAAATAATCAATTATTGACAACAATAATCAGTTATTTTGATTCTTGAAAGCTTGGAAAAACAATTTCTTGTATAAAAAGTAACTTCAATTCAATCGAAAACAGAAACAATTCACTTAAAGAAATGATGTCAAATTATACACAAAATGTAGACAAATACTAAGATATATAAACAAATCAATTGAATCGATAAAACATGTAAAAAACTGAATTGTAAAGGAGTTAAGAGATAGAAAAAGTGCAACAATTCTTTTATCCTGGTACGTTTGCTTGTCCATTTGCAAACTACATTCAAACATCTCTTCTAATCTTATGAGATTTTTATTCACTAATAAAATCAAATGTATTTTACAAACACACTTCGAAAAATTTACAAGACTTTCTTCTATAAAGGTTACAAACCTCTCAATTTCTTAATTTCAAATCTCAAATATCACACTATATGCAACAGCCTCTGTATCAAACCAATATTAGACCAAGCCTAGACACCATTGGGGCCAATTTTGCTAGACGAGGCCCATTAGGAAAAGTGGCAAAACCCTAAATCATCCTTCACAGTTCTATAAAATGCATTACGGGGTCACATTTTCATCTCATCAATGGTCGTAAGCGCCCATAACTACACTACTATTAGCTTCTTCATCTGTTATGTTTTTTTCTTCCATTTTTTTCTATTAGCATTTGATTTAGTTAATGCTGTGTAAGTTTTGGTGTTTCCTCGGTGATGATCAAATAACGATGACGAGTCTGATGAAATTTCCATTCATTAAAATACTGATGACAAAACGAGGCATTTG